TTCAGCACAATAGATGGGACTCCATCAGGCCCACTCGACTTGTTGACGTCCAGGGAGAGGAGTACTTTACGCACCAAGCGCTGACAGCACTTCCCGTATGGAGCACTCACACCGCGGGATGGTCGGCGGTGTGTTTTCCCCGTCATCTAGAGTCAAGTTGGAAGCAAAAAGAGAGCCCAGGAGATCGGCTTTCTCCTTTGCGTCATGAGCCAGTGAGTCGTCCACCCTGTGCAGAGATGGCAGAGATGGCTGACAGAAGTTCCCTTGGACAGCCTTGGCGAGAGACCAGAATGCACGTGTTCCCGAAGGGAGGCGAACTAGTTTCTCGCCAATTCTGCCGATGTGCTCTGACTTTGCCTTGGCAATGACACTTTTGAAGGACCTGGAGGCGGAATTATACTTTTTTTAAGTGCGCTTTTGTTTACATCCCGGGACGTTGATGCGTCGGCCCAGGCCTGGTAGCACTCCTGCTTATGGCGTGATGCTATTTTACAGGAACGACCAAACCATTTTTTTAATTTTATTTCATTTTTTTTAATTTTATTTTATTTCATTTTTAATTTTAAAATATTTAAATTATTTATTATTATAGTAGTAGCATTCAAATTAAATTTTAAAAGATATCAATTTCATTATGCTTTATGCAAAACTTTTGTGAAGGAGCTATACCTGTATGAGCATAAGGTAAGGAAAATGAACATCCAATTCCAAAACATAAGACTGCAATATTGGTAGCGCCGTAAAGGCGTCTACAGTTCGCCTATCACACTACGATGGCCGCTCTGGCTCACCGCCGTGCCATTTGTCCGATATTAAACAGTACCATGAGCACCGTACACGTTGGCCTCGTTTGCCAGACGTCCTGAAGAACATTGTAATGTCTCTATTTGCATCGTTGAATTTAACGCGCTAGCCCAAAAGTGCTGTTTGCTCTTTATCATGAAAAACGTTTTCTTTAAGTAACGGTTTTAAGACAATTCTTTTAAGAGTATTTGATCGAATTGGATTTCAGTAGAACCGATTACTTTGTAGAACGAGATAGTATATGAAAGTTATTTTTTTTACAGCTTACTGTGTGTGTTCAAAAGATTGTGAGCGTTCAAATCTAGTTTTAGAAAAAATTATGATTTTTTTATAGAATAAAGGTGACAAACGAGTACACAGTCCACCTCATGGTAAGTGGATGCTGTGGCCCATAGACATCTACATTTATCCTCGACTAAGAATCAAAATGCAGATGCGTTGTCACCCCTGAGGACTATGATGGAATGCCTCGTTTCCAGTAAAAAGAGTTCCGGTTCTATACACTCAACATACGAAACACAGCAGCACTAAGCTGCTATTTTACGACCTCGGCCGAGTCGACCCATACGTGCTACAACCATAATTCAGCTCGTCAAACCTCTCAGGAATTGAAATCCTAATAAAAACTTAAAATATTAAAAGACGGTGATTTGACTTTTGAAAAAGGCGGGTTGACTGCCTGCGCAACGTGGCAACTATTTCAATAATAATAATAATAACGTTCTTCAGACCGAATTTCGGTCACGGCGAGCATCCATAACGGAGACTAGCCATTTGCGAGGGACAGAATTAAAGTGCCCGGATGTATGCACACCACAGATTCACTCTCTGTGCCCTCCCCATCATAGTCCGATGGGATGGCAATCCGACTGAACAGGAGATAGTTCAGGCACATGACCAACGGCTTTACGTGCTTTTCAAGGCACGAGGATAAAACACCGCCAACGCCGGGATACTACTGAGAATGTCTTGACAGAAAATCTCATTTTTGACCCGACGAAAAATCGCTGGTGGTAATCGATTCCACAAGGAAGTTGTGCGAGTGAGAAAACTTCTTCTGAATCGCACAGTGGTGGACCGCCAATCGACGCCATCGACCGATGGTATCGCCAGTTTTGTCTCGATGTGCGATGCTGGAATTAGTCCGAACAATTCCTCAGAGCACTCCCCGTGTTAGATGCGATAAAATACGCAAAGAGATGCAACATCTATACGCAGTGCCAGTGAATCAAGCCGATCGGAAAGAACTCGGTCGTCGACGATTAGAATCGCTCTGGATGTGGTCAAGTGGAAGGAGCTGGCACTGGGGAGCCCCTGCCCAGAGATGGGAACAGTATTCCATGTGAGGCCGAACCTGCGCCTTGTAAAGTTGCAAGCGGTGTGCCCGCATGAAATACTGTCCCGCTCTGCTGAGCACGCCAAGCTTTTTAGACGCCAATTTGGCCTTCTCTTCCAAGTGACCACGAAACTGCACGTCACTCGATATGTCGACACCGAGGATACCGATACTGCCTGAGGCAACAAGGGGAGTAGTGCCTTGAAACTAAGGAGATACGACAAAGGGATTTTTTAGCGGTAAACGCGCAAACTTGTGTCTTCTGGGGATTGAACTGGACTAGATTTAGTCGCCCCCAGTCTGAGACTTTGTTCAACAAAGTCTCAACTTCAGACACAAGTTTGTTCCGGTACTCGGCGACGTTTTCCCGAGAAATAGTGGCACCGCCGGTGTACAAAGCATCACCAGTGCTGTCGTCCGCATAGCAATGAATGTTACTGGTTTGCAACATATCATTGATATGCTTAAGAAACAGCGTTGGTGATAGCACGCAGCCTTGTGGTACACCAGCGTTAATTGGCTTGTAATCGGAGCATGCACCGTCTACTACGACCTTGATGTTCCGATCTGCAAGAAAACTGGTGATCCAATTGCACAATTTCTCGGGAAACCCATAGGAAGGCAGCTTCGAAAGAAGCGCTTTGTGCCAAACCCGATCGAAAGCCTTCGCTATGTCCAAACTACGGCCAACGCCTCCCCCTTGGACTCCACTGCCTCCGCCTATCTATGAGTCAGGTAGACCAGAAGATCACCAGCTGAGCGACCCCGACGAAAACCATACTGGCGGTCACTAGTCAGCTGGTGATCCTCAAGGTACCGCATGAGCTGGCTGTTAATAATCGTTTCCATTACTTTGGAGAACAAGGAGGTAATAGCGATAGGCCTGTAGTTGGACGGATCGGGATTTTTTAGGAATCAGGTGCACCAAAGCTGTCTTCCGTGAGTTCGGGACTATGTCTAGGGAGTAGGAGTACTAAAAAAGACGCGTTAAAACCGGTGCCAACTCCAGAGCACACGTCTTCAGCACAATAGATGGGACTCCATCAGGCCCACTCGACTTGTTGACGTCCAGGGAGAGGAGTACTTTACGCACCAAGCGCTGACAGCACTTCCCGTATGGAGCACTCACACCGCGGGATGGTCGGCGGTGTGTTTTCCCCGTCATCTAGAGTCAAGTTGGAAGCAAAAAGAGAGCCCAGGAGATCGGCTTTCTCCTTTGCGTCATGAGCCAGTGAGTCGTCCACCCTGTGCAGAGATGGCAGAGATGGCTGACAGAAGTTCCCTTGGACAGCCTTGGCGAGAGACCAGAATGCACGTGTTCCCGAAGGGAGGCGAACTAGTTTCTCGCCAATTCTGCCGATGTGCTCTGACTTTGCCTTGGCAATGACACTTTTGAAGGACCTGGAGGCGGAATTATACTTTTTTTAAGTGCGCTTTTGTTTACATCCCGGGACGTTGATGCGTCGGCCCAGGCCTGGTAGCACTCCTGCTTATGGCGTGATGCTATTTTACAGGAACGACCAAACCATGGCTGGGATCTGGCTCCGATGGGCACCACAGAGGATGGAATAAAAAGTTCCATACCCTGAAGTACCGCATCAGCAACAGAATCGACAACAACGCTGGGATCTTCCGGCGAGAAGCAAACCCGCCCGCCAAGGGTAGGATGCAAAAAAGGACCGTATCCCGTCCCAGTCGGCCGACCTATAGTGCCAAACACGGCGGCAAGCTGCAGATCGCAACTGCGATGGGAGCGTGAGTGGCACCGTACTCCGTATCAGACAATGGTCCGGAGAGCCCAGAGGGGCATCGACGGAGACCTGATATCCGTCTGGATGAGAGGTCAGCAGAAGGTCCAACAGGGAAGGTACATGATCCTCCACATCTGGGATCCGCGTAGGCGAAGTAACCAGTTGTGTTAGACCATATGCCAAGGCGAAGTCATAGACAGATCTACCCGCATGATCGATTAAACGGGAACCAAGCCATTCAGCGTGGTGGGCGTTAAAATCACCGAGTATCACGATCTCTGCGAATAGGACCTGTTGTAGCACGGAGTCTGCAGCCATTTGGACGTGGTCGATGAGTCGGTCTGTGTCGGCATTACCGCTATGGGACGTATAGAGGCACCCATAGACGCGGGGATGGTCGTCGCTGTCTACGCGCAGCCATAGGATGGACAGCTCCGTACCTTCAAGACTGCCGAGGCGTCGAAAACAGATGTCCTCTCTGACGTATACGCAAACTCCAGCCCGGGGTACAAAGGAGTGTTCAAATTTGTACCCCGGGTAAGAGAGATATGAAGTATCAGCCGGAGAGGACACCTGAGTCTCGGTTAAAAAGAGCAAGGCCGGCTTCGCCGTCTCTAGATGGTAATGGACAGCGTTAAGGTTGGAATGAAGTCTCCTGATATTGCAAAAATTCACGGATAGCGTGAAAGGGGTCGCCTTGGTCTTATTGCTCAGCTTTCCCCGAGCAAATGAATGAATAAGCAAATGAAATGACTAAGTGAATAAGATAGGATTATAGGAAAAAGTGTTTTCAATTTTATTTTTTACGTAATAAAATCAGACTTAAGTATAAAGAGTCACAACACATGCAAATTATATCATTTTGTACGAGTTGTAAGAATTACCGTAACCGCTGACTGTTTGACTTCTCTGTTGCTAAATTAAATGAAACGTGGTTTCAAATCTACCTTAGATAAAGGATTTCTTTCAATGCAATATGCATTCTTGTCAATTTCAACTTCTGAAACGTACCAGACATGCAATAAGAATTTGATAACATTTAATAACATTGGACATACTTTTAGTGAAATATTATTACAATAAATATATATATTGAACAAATAACACACTTATATTTTCTTTGAAATACTTTCGAATATTTGAACATGTTGTTCACCTTTGATAACGTCTCTATTTATAATGGGAAGTGCAGTATTTAAAAGAGTATGCTCATAATCACTCATTGAAAAATCGAAACATGGTTGTATAATTCCATTTGAACCCACAAGAGTTGGCCCCGAAAAATATTTCGTTCCAAAATGAGGATTAGCAGTATAAGCATTCACCATCACTTCGGCGCCGCGTATCGCGTCCAAGATACAATCAACAAATTCATTCACTGACCAAGCCATTGCCAGAGTTGCAGAACCGATTCCCAGTTTCTTATTGACAACTTCTGTTCCTGATTTTCTTAAAAGTTTTGTCAACATATCAGTTTTAGGTTCGTCTAATGTATAGCAATTTGGTGATATATTTGAAAACAAAGGCACAATGGTCTCATCGGAGTGTCCGCCTATTACTGGAACGTATATTTTAGTAGGATTCACCTGTAATGCACTCGCAGTGAGTGTTCTTACCCTTGCAACGTCTAGGTGTGTAATCCCGAATACTTTAAAGGGGTTATACGAACCATATTTATACAACAACGCGCTAGCGAAAGGGACTATTGAATTGATGGGGCTAGTTGAAATAGCTAGTATTGCGTTTGAATTCTGCTCACACATAACTTTACATAGCTTATAGACTAATGGAGTATTAGAAGGAATCATTTGCTCTCGTACGTTCCCTGGTTTTCTAGCTATTCTGTCAACCATAACGACGAGATCGGAGTACCGTATCGAAGAAGACAGCATGCATTCTCCAACAAATGATGATATATGAGGTCCACCAGGTAGATGACTTAATTCTAAGCCAATTGCGTTTACTTTTTCATAATTATCATACAAATGCAATCTTGAAATTTTATTATTTCGTTTTAATAGTAACGCCAAGTTAGCTCCAATATCACACACTGCTCCTATGATGGACACTTGGATGTTTCGCAAGTGTATATATGTCACTTGGATTTTCCTGTCTTTATGAAATAAAATTTTCAACGTTTTTAATTTTGAAATAAGCATTTTATTAATTATAGCTATTGAAACGATTTCAAGACATTTCAAATGACAAAACGGTATGTGTCATTTGCTAATGCAAATGACTAAAACGTACTGATTATATCCTCCTTGTAAATGACTATGAATATTTCAGAAGACTCATTCTATACGGACGTTTCTTCTGCTGCTTAAGGATGCTACAGAATACAGTTTCCCGCCGCGATTGTAACGCGGTAGCAAATCATCTGTCTCATCCAACGTTACATCGTAGCTCATCTACTCGTTCAAATTTTACGGCGGCATTTACCTTAAGGTTACCTTTACTTTATTAACTTAAGTACACGGGAAGTTGGACGAATATTCCGGAAGTTATAGTAATAAGTTTAGTAATTGCTGGTCTTACCTATCCTACCGAAAAATTGAGCTCTCTTTTAATTTTACCACGTTTCTCTTAAGTCACTTTCTTGTTTGTCTGTCGTTCCGGGTGGAATTTAGTAATTGATTTTAAAGTAACTTACAGATGACCTGGAAACTTTAAATTTTGAATATAGCTCAAATTCGGATGACAATACAGGAATATGATAAAAACGTGGTATTTTTAAATTTAGAAAATTTCACTTGTTTAATAACTCATCTGTAGTTTGATTGTGTATACAAGCATTTTTTAAATTGTTATCTATTACTCAATTAATTTGGGTATATTACTTTTCATAATAAATATTTTAATCGTCGTCGCCGTCCTCTACCAACATTTTGTTTTTTTATCTCCTAGTTTATTTTCTAGTTACAATAGATGTTGCAATGGAAGAGTAATACCTCCTAAAACATTATATACCTACTTAAAAGAAGGCTTCGACTTTGCTTTATGACTTGTTAATGATTTTTTATATTTACGCGAACACTATACATTAAATAAAATTACATTTATAGATAATATAATGTTAATAAAATTTATTATTAATACCTACCTGACGTTTCCTCAACCCACGACCATGGGTGGTTCAAAACACTCGAATCATCGGGAGTTAAAATACATATAAGTTAAATTAAACGCGATTAAATCCGTAAAAGTAGTTTTGTTCAATGTATTATTGTGGAAATAGAAATAAAAACCCGTCCGTGTAGTGACGATGTAAGAATATTTACCACCCCGGGGGTGTCGTAAGAGGTAACATAGGGAAACTGAAACACTTCCTATTTTTCCTGGGTAGGCATCTTCCAAATAACAACTCGAAATTTTGAAGACTAAAGGTTGCCAATCCGTCTGTCAAGCGAGGAACCTTTTTTATAGAATTAGGGTGACAAACGAGCACACAGTCCACCTGATGGTAATTGGTTGCTGTGGCCCATACACATCTACATATATCCTCGATTACGAATCAAAATGCAGATGCGTTGTCCCCCCGTGAGAACTAAGATGGAATGCCTCTTTTCCAGTAAAAAGGGTCTCCGGTTCTCTACAGTCACCATACGAAACACAGCAGCATTAAGCTGCCATTTTACGCTGGTATTCTGTGAGCGCGTGGTCCTTCCCCGGTCGAGCCGACCCATTCGTGCTACAACTATACCAGTAATATAGCTGCACCATGGCTCTACCACGTATAAAATCCGCCTTATGGGACAATCTATGTTGGATAGGTCACCTAGGTTCAGTAGTAGACGTTTATAAGATGTAATGGATGACAAACAAATTAAACAAGATCGGTAAATAAATTTCTGCTCTATCGTCATCAGCAATCTATATCAGTTATAAGTAGCACACTACTGTTTCTCTGTCTAATTATTTTTATATAGGTAACATCTTTACCATTTTACCGCGTTTTTATTAAGTCACTTTCTTGTTTGTCTGTCTGTCTGTCTTTCCGGGTGGAATCTTGCAACTCAAATTTGGAGCACTTCATAGTTATTCAATTATATCCAATAGGTTGACTCAGAATTTTTGGTTTACCTATATTATCTATGCAACATGCAAACGTTTTCTTTTTTCTATGCATCGTGTTATTGTTTTTAAAATATGATAGTCAAAATATAATTTGTCAAATTTTGTTTGATAGTTCATTTTTACGAATCATATTTTATAATATTTTAGAATGCTTCTTGCAAGATCAATATTCAATTTGGTTTCAAAAATGTACATAATACCTTGTAGATATTATCAGGTTGCCATTGTTGGTAGTGGGAGTGAGATTGGTCAAACCACAGCATTACTACTACGAACTAACCCGTCTATTACTAAGTTAGTTTTACACGACTATCTCGACCACATGCCTGGAATAGTATTGGATTTATCACATATTCCTTCAAATTCAATGATAAAAGGTTATACTGGAAAAGAAACTTTAGAAGAAGCTTTGCAAGGCTCCAGTTTAGTTATTGCTGCTGGCGATGATCCTCAAAACACAGGTTGGATAACGAAATCGACATTGTCACAAAATGCTGATTTTATAAAAAATATTGCGATTTCAGTAGCCAAAATAAGTCCGTTACCATTCTTAGGAATAGTAACGGAGCCCCTTAATACACTTGTGCCGATGGCCGCAGAGGTAATGAGGAATCAAGGTTGCACCGATCTGACCAAGTTATTGGGCATTTCCACAATTGATACACTGAAAGCGCAAGCTTTATATGCTGCAGAGAATGAATTTAACCCTAGCGAATGTTTTGTACCAGTGATAGGTGGTCACTCTAAAGAAACCATGGTACCGTTAATATCTCAAGCAAATCCTAAAAGTAAGCTTTCGGAAGAAAAACATCGAGAGCTCATAGCGAAACTTCGTACTTATAACATCTCTGATATAGCTAAAAGAACATATGCTCCCACATTGTCAGTTGCATTTAGCGTTTCCATATTCACTCAAAATATACTAGAAGCGCTAAATGGCCACACAAGTCACACTAACGCTTTTGTCGAAAATAATGATTTTGGGACTTCATTCATATCAGGACTTTTCGATGTTGACAAGAATGGTGTTGGTGAAATGAAAAAGTATACTGATTTATCTAAATATGAGTATGTTTTACTACAACAAAGCATCGAACAGCTACGAAAAGACGTTGCAATTGGAAAGGACATATTAGAATTAGCTTAGATTTTTCTGAAACACCTAAACGTGCCTGTTGACAAAGTTAGTTATAAAATTAAATATATTTTGTGAAAATTATTTACTTTTATTAGTGAACTAGCTGTGCCACCGACTTCGTTCGCATGGAAACTTTGTTTTATAATTTAGTTTTATAATTTGATTATATTTTATAAACTACACTACAGTTCGAACTCAAACAGTAATTTCATTATAAACCCGATCAAGTGCATCGATGACTTAAACACCGAGAATCCCCTTACGTTCAATAATTTATTAAAAACTAGCTGCTGTCCGCGACTTCGCCCGCGTGTAATTTAGTTTTAATTATGTTGCGCGAAACCCTAATTCTTTTTCTAACATATAAGTAGCCTAAATTACTCCTTATAACATCAGCTATCTGCCAGTGAAAGTCCCGTCGAATTCGGTCCACCCGTTTCGGAGATTAGCCGGAACAAACAGACAGACAGACAGAGACAGACAGACCGACAGACAGACAAAAATTTTAAAAATTGTGTTTTTGTTATAAGTACCGTATATACTTTCATATGCATTTAGTAAAAAGCTGGTATTTTGACATTACAGACACTTCAATTTTATTTATTTGTATAGATAAAAATAAATAAAGTAGATTCACTAAGAAAATATTAAAAAAAAGACTTAGGAAGAGGTTATGGAAACATTGCATTGCAAACTTCAATAATAAGGAGACAACGACAACGTTTGCCGTTGCCGGCAAGGTAAATGAATCCAGCAACCCGTTACATCCCAGGGATACAGTAAGAGGCGACTATGGGAAAGAAAAATTTAATAACTTTCGATTTTATGGTGGTATGACCATATCGGTTATGTCAGAGCCAGACAAAATGCCCAGACTGGCTACGGGAACGTCAAAAATGCCACACGTCTTCTAATGCGATAGCCTGCCAACCGAAACAATTATGGCAAATCACCCCTACAGTTGGAGAAGCCCATGTCATGCAACAGACTTTCGACTGATGATGATGATGAAGAAGAAGAAAGGATAATGTTTCTAACATTTTTGGTCACAAGATGCGACAAAGTCTTGAATCTCTGACCCCTCCAAACTTTAGATGCGTTCTTGCGAGTTGCGTGGTTTATTTTCATTGCAAAGTTGTAGGTGTTTCGTTTAATTATTGTCAATAAACACCCTCTCACCAACATCATAACCGCGTGCAATATCCGTGTTGGCGACGCGCTTATAAAAAGTTTATCATTTTTCATTTCATAAAAAATAAATAATGTCATGTTTTGAAATTATTGCTATTAAATTATATAAGGCATTCCGAATAAGGAGATAATCTATGTTAAAAGTAAATAGATTCAATATAATGTCGAACGAAAGTTCGGGGTTCGATTTCCGGTCGAGAGTTGATTCCATGAATGATTGTTTATAGATTAATTTAGAGTCATGTGTTGCATAGTAATCGGCTATGCAATACGAATAAAAGTCTTATATTAAATTAGATACTTATTTAAGATGAAAATATATTTTGCTCTTGTGATAAGAGATATGATTGATTATAGCTTGATAAGAATAGCATAATATGTAAACAAATAATGTTTCATGATGAACAGCAGAACAATTACTTAATTACGTTTTCGACATTTTTCAGGAGAAGAGTTTCAATGTTTGGAATCGAAAATATAAATGTAGTTTTAATAATTTTGATTATATTTTGAAATATTATCGTATGTTAGTTTATTACTAACAATTATTCACAATAACTTACTATGTAAACTAAAGAAAATTTATTTAAAATGCCTATTAAAAAACTCTGACTTACACTTATGCCATTTTTAAATAAAATATAAAAAAATACAATTATGTCATAATAATATAACCGTGGTTTGGAGATAAGAATAAAAACATGAATTTAAACAACGAGATGTCCAATATAGTTTTTATTTTTCCATATAAAAGTAGCATCAAAGGATAGAATTAAATCTTTAAAAATAACAAACATACGTACGAAATAACACCGGTCATGGTCTTAATTAAAACGATACATTAAATCATTAAAAGAAATAAAACGTAATCACGAATGGTGAGAGGTACACTGAACCTAAACGTTAAGTTGGAGAGGTGTCGTCTAATGAAGTCAACGCTCCGTCCCCCTCGTGCTCTGATCCAGAGCCCCGAAAACTTTCAGCTCTTACAAAATCGTTTTTAGTGCCTAGAAGACTACAATGAAGAGGACGATATGAATGACAAGCTTGTGGAAGCTGTCCATGCGGTTGGAGCTAAGTTCTACAAGACTCGTCGTAGAAGAACACAAAAACTCTTCGATCACACTCTCAATCTCATGGCTGTTAGACGGGAAATGAAGCTGCAGTCTTCAGCAGATTTGACAGCATACCGGCAGCTGAATAGACAGATCTCCAAGTGCATGCGGTGGGACTTACGCAACTTTAATACACCTCGTATCGAAGAAGCAGATCGAGCTGATTGGAGCGCAACCAGGTCTTCAAAGTCTTTGCCGGAGATCTGTCTGTCAGAAAGAACCAACTGCCAAAGCTGAAGACCGAGTGTGGCAGCGTCGTTTCCGGGACACCTGAGATTTTGAGTGAGATTGAGAGGTTCTATGGGCAGCTGTACACGTCCTCATTGGAGCTACACGCAAGTATGAGTAACTACCCAAGAGCAAGTCTTATCCGACACTACTCCGGACCTCAATCCAAGCGAGGTTAGAATGGCTCTCCAGCAGCTTTAAAACGCCAAGTCCCCGGACGACAAAAGAACTGCAGCGGAGCTTCTGAAAGTGGATGGAAAACCGGTACTTGAAGTCCTTCAGAAGATCTTTAATTCCATCCTTCATGGTGGGACTACTTCGGGGTCGTGAAGCAGAAGTGGGGTCTTGTTCTTCAAGAAAGGCGACAATGCTCTGTTGAAGAACTACAAACCGATTTCCCTCCTGAGCCGCGTCTTTGTGCTGTTTTCGAGAGATATAACGAATCGTCTCGCACTCGACGACTTCAAACCTCCCAAACAAGCCAGTGTCCGAAAAGGCTTTAGCACCATAGACCACATAGATACCCTTCGGCAAATTGTACAGAATACCGAAAAGTACAATCGACCACTTTGTCTTGCGTATGTGGACTATGAGAAAGCCTTTGATTCCGTCGAAATTTAGGCGGTGGTACAGTTCCTTCAGCGGTGCCAAGTTGACTGTCGGTATATCGAAGTGCTGAACCTGTCCAAAACCTGTACTTTGATACACAACTGCATTCGTTTTTACACCTTTCTCACAAAAATGTACCTCTGTTAAGCCCCAATAAGAAACTCCCAACCATACCATGAGCGAGGATGGAAAATGACCTCGTTGGACACGTGGAATACGGTTGCTCGCTTCTTCACTACTGTGTGCGTACACCTTATCATTTTGTTTGTTGTAGCTCTCTTCTACGGTAAAAAATTTTTCATCCGAAAAAAGAATATCCTGATATTTTTTTCCCGCGTACCGCTTCAACAAAGCGCGGCATCTCTTCAGTCTCAGGTCCATTAGACGAGCATTCAAACGATGTCCTGTTTTTCTTCGATATGCCCGAAGCCCTAAGTCTTCATTTAATACCCTTTTCACCGTGGTTCTGCTTATCCCCATCTGAAGGGCCAACAGTTTCTGCTTACGTTTGGGATTTCTTTGAATTCGCGCCTCCACAGCTTTTATCACTGCTGGAGTCCTAACAGACCGAGGGCGACCACTTCTTGACCTGTCATCTACACTAGAGTCTTCATTGTATCGTTTGATGGTACGATAAACGAATCTTTTGGTTATATTCAAATTTTTCAGTATGTCAAAAATTTGAATTGGCGCGTAACCGCAACGATGCAACGCAATAACTGCAACACGGTCTTCTTTAAGCGTCCACTCCATATTTAAAAATGAGTAAAATTCTAAAAAGTATAGTTTTATTTTCATGAACAATTCGAAATTCGAATTCAATAAACTTTTTTGTGGCCAGCATTCTAAAAGAAAAGTTTATACTGTGTGACAATACTTATGACCTGACTAGGTATATATATATATATATATATATATATATATATATATATATATATATATATATATATATATATATATATATATACACATATATATATATATATACATATTTACATGACTTATTATTATTGTATTCTTTTTGATTCTCTTTGTCAGATTCGATTCATTCGCCAACTGAAGTACATCGTCCTTGCACATTACTGTCTGGTAATTATTTGTCTATCTCGGAGTCACTGAAAAATAAATAGAAGCATAATAGTTTAAATTATATTTTACGGCTAACTAACGCGGGCGAAGTCGTCGTGGGTGAAAAGCTAGTTTACCTATATAATTTGGTTCATCGTTTAAATTTCTGTGAGAACGTAGTCGTTTCCCGGTCGAGCCGACCCACTCGTGCTACAACTATACTACTAATATAGCTGCAGCATGGCTATACCACATATAAAAATTTTACTAATCAAATCTTTGTACCTCGAAAATTTTAGCATTTTCCTTGGAATCATCGGAATTCCACAGTAACAGTGATACGAACAACTTCTTCTAACGGACTAATATTATTACTGGACAAGTGGTAAAATTAAAAATTTTGTAGAACCGATTTCAATAAAACTCAATTACAACATAATATATGTAATGCTTGAAATAATTTCCATAAAATTTGTATGAGACCAACTGTGAACAAGAAAAGAATAGGTAACTATTCAAAATCGGTCCGGAGAAATCGGTGAACATACATAAAAATAAAACAAACATACATACAGCCGAATATAGAACCCCTCCGTTTTTGAAGTCAAACTCAAATCAACGTCAGCTATCCTATACTTTTATATTTTGTGGAATAAATTTCGATCTATCTCCTACCAGTCAACCAATGTACATACAATAGTATGTAAGGTGGTAAGGTACGCGATCAAAGTAAGTAAGTACGCCTACTTACCTGTTGAGCACAGAGCCTTTGATTTTAGAAGTTAGTTGCCCGCCCTT